TCACCTCTCCACTGTAAGAAGATTTTGCATCTCTCTCTCTTTCTCCTCTTCCTGGTAATCTAACTCTTACAGTCTCTACACCCTTTAGCAATGAAAGCTCATCGTTATGAGCTGCATCTAAACTTGAGGGAACATTACAAGACAGAAATGACGTCAATTCACCAGCAGACAAGCCCTTAGCAGCGCAGACAACCTTCAGCCATTTCTCAACTTTGTAGTCTTTCTTTGCCCCATCTCGTCTTGAGATTTGCTTCTCTCCTTCTTCCTCTTCATGCTAAATATGTATGCCACAATAATCATAGAAATCAAAATTACACTTACTGTGAAACTTATATCTAAACCTGAGAACACCACAAAATCTGAAAAATGTAGCTATCTCTCAAGAAAAAAGCCAATCAGGGGTTTGAAAGCTAAATCACAAATAGCATTGGTAATCTGTTAGTGGTTCCAAGCTTTGCTTGCAGATGGTTACTTCACTAAAGTTGATCAGTGTACGATTGACTTTTCAGAATCAAATTAATGTGTCATGTGTTTGTCATTAATGTGTAAAAAAAGTCCTTCCAACAAAAGAAATTCATTTTAAAAATACTGAAAAGTAAAATACATATGCTGACAAACTACAGACAATTATACTGTAAAAAAAAGATATGATCTTTACATATTTCTGCCTCAAGTTTCAAGAGAAGCAGCCAGAAATTTCAATTTTAGACCATCACCTACATCAATGAACCTGGTAAAATTTTCAGAGGTTCCACCAATGTGGAATGAAAGAGAGGATTACTCACTTTTCCTCCCCTACTCCACCAATTTGTTACTCTTCTTCTTTTCTTTCTTCCTTCCAGAATGGCTCTTGCAGACTCCACACAATTAAGCAATGTAAGAGTATCATTGTGATCTGAGTCTGATGATTCTGGAATATAAGGAGACAGAGATGGCAAGCCATTGGCAGAGCAGGTGAACTGTAGCCAATTCTCTACTTTATCATAAGACAAGGTGTCAGTTGGTCGAGGGTCCTGATCTCTTTCTTTTTTCTCTACTTTCTCATCAAGAAGGAGGCTTTCACATTCAGAACCATGCCCTGTGGCTCCAAGCTGAGAGCTTACAGTGGAATCTACATAAATGGTATTGCATCTTGAGCCAGAATACAACTCAGGCTCATCATCATGTATACCACCATTGCCCTGCATGTTCCCTTGAAAAGAATAAAAAAAGGACAAATCATATCACTTTCTGGATATTTTGTAAATCATAGCATGGAAAAAGAATAAACATTTTTAGACCATTTTATTTCCCTCTACAAAAAGAGAATGCTGTTTACCAAAAGTGCTACCAGAACTGCCCCTGGAATTTTTGGGGTATCAGAGAATTCTATCAAAAATCAGTGAAAATGCTGTTTAGCTGTCAAACTTTTTTGAGTCAAACATGCAATTCCAAGTGGTAGCAATTTAATCATTTTTCATGAGATACAGGAAAATTCAAGGTACTTTTGTTCCTATTTTTTCCACAAGCAAACCAACTTATAGGACATTGAATTATAAAAGCAATGCTTGAGCTATTTAACAACAATGTGAACTATCTGAAAAAAAAACAATTGTATCATTATATCCATATATTTGAAAGGTTACATACTACACTTAAGTAAGAAGCCTATGGGTACAGTACGTCTTGATTTCCTCAAAAGAAAGAGTCAATATTATTTCATATGTTTGATCAACCATGAATGGGGTGTAACTTAAAGAATACAATGAAGTGCAGTTCTTGTGAAGAAAAAGATTTAGTTTGCTAATTAAGCACCACATCAACATACCCAATTGTCCACATATCTCACAAAAAACTCTTGAAAGTTGTATCCACTTGTCTGTATTGGTTGAACATTGGCCATAGTTTTCTTCTGACAAACTGAAAAACAACCCAAATATAAGGAAACATTCAATCAAAATCTTTCCAGCTTATTAGGAATTTGTGTTTATCCTAATCCACTGCCAACAGTTGATATCCTTGTCTCCCCATCTTGGGTGGCTGCCAAACTAATTGGTTTAAATCCTACTTGTGTGTCTCCTTGGGAAGAAGCAATAATGGATGTAAATACCTGACTACTACTTTGACTAATTTTTTATTTAAGACCCAGGCAACATTGCAGTGTGCTTCATTTACTAATGGTTGTATAGGGTAATCATTGTCAGCAAGAACCTGTCAAGGCAACATTTATCACAAGTCAAAACATGGATGGTTGAAGCATTTACCACTTGATTATTTCTTCAAAGAACTGCATCAGGTCTTTGTTACCATCTGTAAGCCTCTCCTCACAACCATCATTTAGAGCATCTGTTGCTTGCCCTGATGATACTTAAAAAAATGCAAATCACTTTTACAGACTGCCTAAATGTATAGTTTTCTTATACCATTCCACTCAGGAATAATCACAGTTGAGACTTCCAGTCCAACTAAATGCAACAAGTAAATTTAGACCTATTGACTGGCCCACATGAGTTCTAGGGTCCTTTTTAATATGCAATTTCAGTTATTTATATCAATGCCTTAGTTGAAGTTTTGATTGTCTCAACTTTCTTTCCTTTTTAAGTTTTTTAATTTTCTTTAAATAAAGGTTGTCTTACACTGGTCCCACATGTGGAGGTGGGCATTGACACCGTGGCTCTGGTATGCAAATGCTGTCTGTACTTCAGCTGAAAATAAAAAAGAAAAGAAATGTTGCTTCATGCATTTTTATAAATATACCAGCAAGGTTTTCAAGCAGATGCTAAAAATGTTTTAAATCGTCAACACCAAATTGTGTCTTATGACTTGCATGCATATTACAAACTGCTTACTTAAAAAATTGTTCCTACATCTGTTGTCTGACTTCTTTGTAATAATAAACAATTAGGAGGTCACATGCTACATTTCCAAGCAAACAGTGCAAACATTTATAATTGGTTTAGATGCGGAGTTCTTAGCTCTACTCGCACAAGTTTTGCAAAGCCTTTACTAACCTCTAATTGCAGTAATTATGTCTTGGTCTGGGGGAGCATACTCCTTTGTTCCATGGACAGTTGATTTAAACAACACATCTTTTTTAAAAAGATGGTCCACTAGGTGAAGTGCCATGGCTGTAGGCTTGTGAGCAGCCTGTGCATGAGTGAAATCCATTCTGGACAGCTGGACATTAATGTTGCCCTCAATTGCAACTGAACCAGTATTGGTTCCTTAGAAAGTAGGAAAAAAACAGGTAAGTTTTTGTGTTGGAAATCATTTCATAACTTAAAATTCAGGTGTACTGAAAAGTGTTAGCTCATTACTATTTGCAGACTATTTTATCAAACGTATCAGGGTTGTTTACTTTTTTCTATGGGATTGTCCGCTAATTCTGCTAAAGCTCTGCTTTGGGCTGGCACAACAAATTGGTGCAGGTCTACTGGCATCTCCTTCTGCCCTAACACAGCCGGGGGTGATAGAATCTCATCCAAGGATGTAGTGCAATTCATGTAGGGTGAAACAAATGAGGCATCTGAGGCGTTCAATGTGGTGTCTGTGGTATTGGCCCACTCATAATACTGAATACTGAGGGGCCTGTCCAGCTTAGCCTCCTGCTTAGCAAACGAACACTCCAACCTCGCCAAGATGGTCCTTAAATGGCGAAGCTCCTTACCCACGGTCTCTATTGTACTTTTACCGAGGTGGTTCAACCGCTGTAATATTCAAATGTTTTACATCAATCAGCCAACCCTTGGCCAATGATCTAACGAAAGTACCATCACTTGGTCAGCTCTACTCGGGTATCAACTAACTCTCTCGAGTCCTTGGAAAAATATCTTTGGTGGCCATATTCCGTTCTAGACCTTTCATGCCACCAACATTAGTCTATGTCAAAAACTCTTTTTTTCAGATTGTAAGGTCCAGGTTGACATCAAACACAGAAAGAAAAAACTGGCCCAGTAACTGTTATTCCGTAGCACTCAAAAGGGTATGTGCTCTTGCATTAAATTTTTCATTCCTGAGTTTCTCCCATGGCTATTGACACCGGTAATTGGACTTCGTGCCGAACAATGCAGGGGTGTAAATCGCCGAATTACTCTCTGAACTGTACTCTTCTGATGAGGCTCTTTTTCCCAAAGACAGAAGTACAAATTTTCTGACATGACTAAGGCAGAGGAATCTGTAAATTTCGCACATAATTTAAGTGAGTCACTCGTCCCAAAAGACACACGCATCATGGCTGCGTTTCTGGAGCTCTTCATTCAGTCATGTGACGTTGTTTTCCCGCCAACGGTCATGTGGATAATCAGACGGGGAAGAAGTAACAAAGAAATATAGATCGCTCATTATTCAGGAAAACCAACCTTTGCTGATTCATATTTAAGACTGAACACGAGAAGAAACGCAAAGGAACGGATCAAACCAAACACTTTCGCAAATCAATTAATAATCTCGTTAGCATGGTGAATTATTTGAGAAATATTAATGACTGGAAGTACTTGTATCTATTATTTCCCTTGGATGTAGGCGCAAGTAAAACGCGTCATATTTTCTCATAAACAACATAAATCAAATTGGCATTTTAAATAATTAGCTTAATACGAATGAAATATTGGAGTATAGCATATGTATTAACTTTGTATCAAACTTGATCTGGAACAATTCTCTATAACAAACCTCGATCGACGTACACCGCTCTCACCAAACTCTGATCTGAAAGAGAGGGTTGCGAAAAATGGACACGTTACAAGTGTGTGTGTCATTAGAAAACTGAGAATTTTTTGAAAGAAACCACAAAGCTTGTTTTTCTTGCTTTTCGTTGCTTACCCCAAACCCTAATTCACTTCAAATGCCGTTGAGCCAGAGGAGATGTAAGCCAGTTTCGCAAAGTAGACGCTCATGTGATCGGACAATCAGGATCAGGGTTTTACCCAATGCGCTTCTTTGCTATTACAGTCATCCGAATGAATGCTGGGATTGGCGAACCTAGTACCAGGTCCCCTTGTACCAGGTTAGATAGCCATTAAGAGTTCATAGATATTCTCTTAAAAGTTATATTTTTGCAAACTTTTTTCTTTCCATGATGGGCTGAGGAGATTATTACTCTGTGTTTGAATGTGGAAATGACCGTAAACATCGCAAAGGTACGAAAATTTGAGGAAAACTTTCGACTGAACATAGAAAACAGGGCCACTTTTACTATCCACGGTTCGCATGGCTCGTTTGCTCCTATATATGTCCACTGCCGAGCCAAACGAGCCACAAAATATATAGACCTAAGACTTAACGCGCATATTCGTTATTCCTTGTTCTTTCATCCACTGCCAAGCCAAACGAGCCACTTGATGTATATGCTCCCTCAAAAGTGGCCCTGTATATATATGTTATTCGCCAGCCGGGAGGTCCGTATTGGGAAAAACTGTGCTCGTAGTCTTGAGGTACACGAAACAGAGGGCACAGTTTTTCCCAATACGGACCGACTAGGCTGGTGAATAACACTTTTATTTTTTTCTAAAACTCAACGAAATACTTGCCAAAGAACCCGAACGATTTAGGGTTGTAATTACGGCAAGATCCTCTTTAAATTGAACAATTTTTCGGCAAGTAAATTGTTGTTAAAACAGAGGTGATGCAAATTAAAGAGGGAAGCTTCACCGAAATACTTTTCTTTACTTAGCGGATAAAGTTTATTTAGAAAGCTTCTAAACAAACTTTGAAACCTTTGTTTACAAGTATCTGTGACAATCTGACACCTGTCAATTAAAGAGAGCATAAAAAAATAGCTCGTGTACACTTCTGAGAAATAAAAACAATGCTACTGGTTTGGCAAACAAACTTGAGTTCAATGACTGCATGTCATGACAACTTTTTCTTCAAAAACATTCATTGATCTTAGGATAGTATAATTCACTTCCATGGATGATTAGTTTTCAAAGAATACCTCTGCTCAGTCTATCAGTAAATGGAAAGGAAGGTAATTGGAAGTAAATTCAAATGTAAGTTTTTAAGTGGTGAGAGTTTTCTTGTTTGTTTGCTGCAATAGCATGTGTAAATCTGACGTTTTTTCACCAAAAAACTTAATTCAAATGAGACACTTAAACTAGACCCAATGGTAATATAATACAGATTTTTCTCATTGAATTCTTTTGGTTTTTGTTTGCAAATTACTGTACAAATGGCCAAATTGAACAGACCTGCAGACTTAGCACAAGCTTATTTGTAGTTGGACTGAAAACTTGCTTACCATTTGATAACAAAAAAATTATTCGAGAGAAGTCAGAAATTTAATGAACATGAATATCAGTCAATTCCTTGTGCTTACTTGAATGAAACATTGATTGGTCATGATTTTGCCTTGCATTTTATTAATAGTTTTGGTAGCACAGGGTTACCTGGTTATTTCCCCAACAAACCTGCATATTGGCTGTGAGCATCTTTTATGATTTTTGTCTTAAATGTTAATTTCTGAGGAAAACCCTCAGAATAAATCAAGGAGGATGTCTATGGATTAAACAAACTTAAGATGCAAAAATGTAATGCAAAAAAATATCTAAACAAGTAACATACACTGTACTTTGACAGAACATCATTGTGCGTAGATATGGTATGAAATATATACAAGTACCATATTTCCTTGAATGAGCACCCAGGCGGTTATTCAAAATTTTAGCTGAATGAGAGAGGTGGATATTGCAATAATTCTCTTGTACTGATTCCACTGTAGTTGAAGCTTAAAAAGTTACAAATTAAGTGGCAGTGGAAGCAGGTTTTTTTGTACTTATGCTATGTTAGAAAGTGAGGGAGGGGGAGAAGGGCTAGTTTGATATGATGGTTGAGAGGGTGGGTGCTTATTTGGGAGAGAGCACTTATTAAAGGGTGAGTGCCTATTCAATGAAATATGGTATACACATAATTAAACCTTTACATCCTAACATCAGTATGCATATTCTCCATTCTGTTCTCTATAGATTTCCAAAGGTGCTGACAAGGAGAATTTGTCTATCAATCAAAAGCTTCTTTAGTTGGTGATCATTTACTTTATTCTTGTGACCTTACTTTTTGATTCAGGGGTGATATTGTATAGAGGAACTAGAAGCTGATCACTCTTAGGGATCAAAGAGTTAAACTATAAAGGCCAGTAACACTCTGCATGGATTGTGCACATCCTTTACCATATTAAATGCAAGCTAACTTGTCATAACAATGATTATGAATATTTCTTTTAAGAAATGCATTCCTTGAACTCAATGTTTGTAGTTACTAGATTTTTAGAAAAAGATATAAATTACCAAGACTGCAAATATTTTTGTCTTCTCATAGAGACATCATGCCCAACTATGACAAAATTTTGGCAATGTTTGCTCAGCCTAAATAACAATGTAATTGGATGTGGCATGTCATGTCATATTTTAGTATCTTCATACTTTTCTCTTCTGAAATAGGTAACAGATGATGTCAAAATGTGGCAGAAACAAGAAGTGTCATGTAAGGCACAACAGAGTGTGTCAGGGATGTTCTTACCACATTTTGATGTCTTCTGTCATCTATGACTGATCACACCCATGGCAACATGCAATCTATTTCTTATCACAGACATTAATCAGTCGCCACCATGTAAAAATGCAATTTTTGGGAAAGTTAATGTTGAAGATCACCAATTTTTTGTTTTGCAGGAATGTGCTGCCAGGACTTTGACAGGAGTCAAGTTACTGTTCTGATCAATTTTACAATTTTCTGAAAAAATGGCAGAATATATACTGAAAGGCAAACCCTCCCTAACCCTCCAATGATAAATAACAATACCATAAAAGCATTTTGTTTTATTTCTTCATTCCATCAGAATGAGACTTCCATCAAATTGAAATGAAACTTTTCCTGAGCCATGTTATGTACAACAAATTTACTTTTCCCCTTTTTTCTTTATTTTGTTAGCATATTTCTAAGTTTCACCAAACATTGCAACCAATGTTAGATTCTTCATTTTATCATGTATACAGCCTTGAGTGGGCTTTCATGAAAAATCTTTAAAATTTCTCTGCAAGGGCCATGCACAATGGAACAGGAAGGACCAGAAAAAGCCATGTGATCCTGTGTGATGCAAGCAGAAAGAAGAAAGAGAAATAGTATGGATCATATGATGAGGGATTGGACTGAAGGGATGATATTTGGCTCTTGGTCTTGTGTGTAGTTTGTATTCTTTGACCTAGATCCAAATATTCCTTGGTTAGCCCTACCACTCTGCCAACAGGTACATAATCTCATTTACATAACAGTTTAGCCTGATTCATTTTGCCATCAAGCCTATTTTTTAAATTATTTGGTAAGTTTGCAGTAGCTGTTTGTTTTAAGGTGATTCCTCTGACAAAAAAAAGTTAACAAATAATTTGTTTAAACTTTCCTTAAATGTTCTCTACTAATATCTGTTTCAAAAACTACAATTTAAAAGAGAGGTAACCCTGCTCATTAAAGAGGTGAGACAAACTTACCCAACTTATGCTTGTCCTGGCACTAATCACACACATCATTTCATCAGTTCATGGTACTGTTTGAGGTAGCATGAAGCAAGGGTATCAAAGTGATATTAAAAAAAAACTTAATAGGTAGAAAGTCTTAAGTGTGAAACAATTTGATGTATAAATTGTGAAAAAAATCACGCAAATTTTATAATACTTTGACTCAAAACATTCCTCAAGTTGTTGCTTTCACGGTCATAATTTGCATTGTTAAGTCAGGCTTTTTGCATGCTTTTAGCCATATCTTCTTTCACCTTTGGTGAATTTTTTTGTAATTTGTCCAATCTAAAGGGGACAATTTTTACAGCAAAATTTTGCATTAAAAATATGGGTCACCATGCTCCTTCACTAGCTAAATACCATTATACCTTTCTGCCTTGTCCTAGGTTTTTAAAATGACTTTGCCTCAGTTTGAACCCTTTATTGTTATGTTCTTCCTTCTATTTCATTCTGGAGATCGCTGGTATATTTTTGTTATATTATTCCTTGTCTTGTATTTAGAGGGTCTTTGAACAGATCTCTGGCACAGTTCAGGGCAATCAAGAAACTAAGTCAAGGATCACAGATATCAAAATTTCTTTTAATGGGATCAAATGACATGTCAGTGACAGCATTCTCTTCCCCTTAACCTCTCGCTAAGAAATTAACAAAAATGACATAAAAAGGAGTATTTGGAGAGGTGAAGGGTAGTTTGAAAGCTGTTAAATATGAATTTTTCTCTTGTATTATTTATTTAGGAAGAGAACATGTAGGATGAGGGGGAAAGTGATTTCAGAGAAGAGGAGTAAGTGATCCTTTATGCATTAGCTTGCTTCATACTTTCTTGTTTGTTTTTTTCGTTTAGGCCTCACTGGCCTGACTGCTTTTGGCTGCCTCATTATAGCATAGTTAATGAGCAAAACCACAATTGGAAAATAAGCAATGGAAAAGCCTATTGAACCAGTACTAAAATAATTCAAAGTTCACGTGACCATAATTATCAGTAAATTGTCTAGAACTAAAGAATGAACTAAGAATGAACTAAAATGAACAGAAAGGTAGAAGTAGGAGAAAGATACATGAAGAGTCACAACCTTTTGGAAATCAAAGCATATTTACATAGTTATATAAACTAAAATTAATTCTCCATACCCAATTAAAAATGTAACTTTCTTATATTAAGAATCTTTTACTTATGTACCCGAGAAGTACAACATTGTACCATGCAACTTCTTCCACCACAACATATTTCATTGACCACAAGAAATCATTATGCTTGGCAAGGAGTATAAAATCTATTTGATACCAGAATGCACAGTGGTATTTAAAATTACAAATGATTTACAGTCATTGGATTTATTATAAGGCTTTAAGCTTAATCACTAATTCTATTAAAATACATATGCAGTGCAGTCATCAATTCTATTTCAGCTGTTATTTGTTGCTAAACAAACAAAGTAAAATCACAAACAAAAACTGCAACTCAAGTACATAAAAAAAAAATTCAATCGATATAATTTAGAGCCATTAGTTGGCTCTTCTTAGTCTTGGGACTCATAACTTAAATTGCATAATGGATACCTGGGGCAAGACAGCTACTGATACTTTCAGTATCATACAATTAGAGCCAAACAGGCTGTAACTATTAATTAACACTGAACCTAAGGGGGTAGATACATACTTAGACAGCAGTGTTTATAAATACAATTTATTTTGGTGAGTCATTACTGAAATTCTGGTTTGCTTTATTTTTTTTCCTAAGTGTTCATATTGCATAAAAGTCCATTTTAAGAAGTGTGGGGTCATCAATCTGTACCTTCAAGTGCTTTCTAGCAATCATAATAAAACAGTTTAGGAGTAAAAAAAATACAGGCTTCAAACAGTCAGTTAGTGGTTAGTTGAAAATGACGACAATAAGAAAGACAACCTCTACCAAAAACTTTTAAACAATAAAACTGTTTCCTTTCACAATATTTTGCTTCCATTTAAAAGAATAGAGAAAAGGAAACATGACCAAGTTAAATATAAATTAAAAATCTTGCATATTTTTAAAACCACTTACTTTCCCTACATCATATTTTTACCTTAGGGTGTTCCTAGAGTAAACTTTTCTTCAGCTAAACGTTGTATTACATCCATACCCACTAATAGGTCGGTGTCTGGGCCAACAGCACCAACTAATGCTTTAACACAAAATTCACGCCCTCTAACAACAATACTAATTTCAATCAAACCACATGACATTTTCAACCCTCCTGCCAAAGTCACATTTCTCTTCTTACGGGGATTGGGCTCAAGGCGCAAATCATTTACAAGTTCTTTAGATATTGCTGTAGCAACATCATTCCCACTGTCAAACTTGACACTTCCAGATACTAACTGATGCAACTCTCCATTCACATCCCTAATCTTCACTGGCTCCTCATCAACTGAAATTACTTTTGGTTTGTACCCTGAAGAAACAGAAATTTAAAACAAGACATATTTGTTCACTTCCAGACTTTTGTAACCATTCCAGTCTTATAAATTTTAACTCCACAGTCACTGTTCAACTCTGAAGCCCAAGAACCAATCACATCATCAATAATCTGGGTTTATTTATGGTCAATTCCCTGAAGTACATCTCTTGAAATTCTTGTCACCCTCCATATTTTCCTCTTTTAAGATTAAAAATGACTTTCCTCAAAATGTAGGGCAGAGCACAGGTCATAAACTCTAATTTTACCAGCTATAATTTTAAACTGTGCTATGCTATTCCACAAAATAAGCCCAAGGAATTAGATATGTTACCTCAGGTTTTAACTGTTCTCATGATAGAGTGAAAAATTAAAATAATTTATATTCCACAATATGACATTTTCTGTGACCTTTTACTAAACAGACCCACATCAACATAGTTGTTAATGGCAATGTCATCAATACATCTTTCCTCCAAAAGAGTTCAAGAAATAACCAATCAAAGTGTCTGCATAATTCTGCCTGTCATACAAAAGCTTCCAGAAAACAGAAATGATGCACTTAAAATTGTATTTGTCTAAAAAAGTTCCAGATTCAAAGTTAAACTCAATCTTAGCCAAGTGTCTCAACTGACTCTTGTGTCTTAAGAACTACTTGATTTGACCAAAACATGAAATGGGCTTTAGTTTATTTAGCTTGTCATGATATTACCAACTTTTAATGAAAGTAACATGCAATAAAAATTTCAATAAAAAAAATACACTTACTAATGATCAGGCCTTCACAAACAGCATGGTGTGTAGGGTTCCTTAGACTACTTTCCAAGCCTCCCATTTTGATGAGAGCTACATCACCAACATCACAGTCACCTTTCACATCTCTCACTTCTAGTTTAACAGGATAAGGGGACAACAAAAGATTCTCCCTACAATTCAACCTCAGGTTTATACTTTCCCCAAGTTTTGTCTTGAAAGAAATTCTCTCATTTTTTATCTCACCAGATGTAAAGCTGACGAGGAAAATTGGAAGCCTTAGTGGTCCAATGTCCTGGTAAATACCTTTTGTTGATGAAATTTTAGCTTCTGGAAGAGCATCTTTAATACCTTTAAAAACGCCTTCACCATAGTTAAGGTCCATCTGAATTTTATCAATATCCTTCAAAACAAAAGAAGAAAACTCAATGTTTTGTAATCATTGTTAACATTTGGCTTTGTCAGCACTTAAAATACAGTATTTATAGGAACACCCAATCTGATGTTTGCATTTAATAAAAAAATGTTGAACTTGTGCTGGGTAAAAAGGGAAAGATGCAATCACCCCCAAGGGGAAAAAGCAGACTTCTGTTAGCATTGCAAATGTCTGGGAACAAATTATTGTTCCCAAGCCAGTCCCCTTGTTGTAAGCAAAATACCTTCCTTTAAGGACCATCTTTGAGCCAAATTTCTTAGTGACTACCCTGCATTCTGCCCTTGAACCTCAAGAGCTGGAACTGTATAAAGGTTGTAGATTTAGAAATTCAGACCAGTGGTTTTTTGTTAAATGAAAGGTAGACGAGAGAGAGCAGAAACAAAAGTTCATCTAAAACAAATGAGCCCCAAGTAAGAATCATTAAGTAGACATAAACAGAACTAGTATTATTGAAACAACATGTTTTGGTATCCATAACATAGAGATAAAAATATCAACACTTGAAAAACTACAATGTACAATGAGTTACAATGTAAGTAAACAACATGACAAATTTATTTCTTCCTTAAATGAGCTGTTCAATTGAAGTTTTTAATACAGCTCTACATAAACAAACAGCACCAAAGGCGTCAGGCTCGGTACGCACTTCATCTCTCCATTGTTGGTATCGGCCAGGGCCGACACTTGCAAAATGTTTCAGGGACCTGATGCGTTTAATACTCCCTTGCTTTTGTTCAAGGTCGTTGTGTTGCAATTTGCATATTTAAACCACTCCAGATTTTGCAAACGCCCCAAAACTTCCTCATCAGTTCCTTCAGATTCTTCGCCTGAACTGATGACAAAGCTTTCATCGTCCTTTGAGTTTTCACGCTCAAAATTGTGAAGAGCTAATGCGAGATTTCCTCTCGTAGGTGTCATGTTGAAAATCTCTGACAACGCAGTGACGTCACTACCCAACAAAATTACCACTATGCTGTGAGAATGATATGGCGACGTGCGGGATTTTTGATAGAAAATTAAACGATTCCAGCCAGTTTAAGAATTCTCAAAGAAAATCCAAAGAAATTTTTAGGAAATCATAAAGTATTATTTGGAAAAAAAATCTTTTTGTCTGCGGAGTTACCTTAGGAATATAAAGAAACATAGTGCTATCGTATCGATACCAGTGCTTACCTGCGGCCGAAATTTTGTGTTTTCCGTGTAGAGATATTCTTCCCCTAATTGTTCATATTTCAGGATTGTTCCAAGGCCAATCTTTTCATCTGTTAGGATGTCGTTGTCCCAATCATGTTTTGAAAAGTCGTTTGACCTTCTTGATAACTGAAATGGTTTGCCGAAACCGCCAAATTCATTTCCATCGACCTCCCTAGCGTACACAAAGCTGGTGGCGCTATCGTAAGCCTTTGAAACAGCAATAACGACGCCGAACTTTTCATTCTTTCCTAACATTTCCAAGAAAATAGTCAAGTAACGATTTTTGTTGTTCCAGGGGTCCGTCAGCATAGACATGTGAATTGGCGCGAAAGTGTCCACTTGAGGTTCGGCGGTAAAAAATCGAAGCCTGTTTCCTACTCAGACACGGTAGGATCTGGGCACGAGGTTATCCTTATTTCGTTTCTCACTACATCTCACACCGTTTTACAAACAGAACCATCATATAGAACACCTGGTTTGCACTGCAAGCGTTATTTTTTCTTGTAAAGATCATCAAAAGCCTGGAGGGAGCAAACCAGTGAAGGGACAGGGGTCGGAAGGAAGGAAATAAAACCCCGACCCATATCCCTCTTAATCTGTCACGTGTTATCTCAGAACCACCTTGCCAGTATAATTTCTCCTCTCTGTTCAGCCCTGTCTTGGTTACAAACGTAGAGGGCGTCGAAATATTTGTGCATGAAGCTTGATTAGGGCTAAAATTAATGCGTGACGCGTGAAAAATCTGAGCGTGATACGTGATTTCATTAATGTGTGTAAAGTGAAATTTCTGCGCAAAGAAAAATTGGCGCAATTTAGTAAATTGCGCGTGACACTGGTCGTTTCTTATGTTTTCCTTCCCCAGCTGGCCAAAATTCTCCATTTAAAAAAAAATTGATCAAACTCCTTGGAGGACTACTCGACATAACTACAAACATATACCTCAAATCGTGTGCATATCATCCAGATTCCGAGTGCTGCACCTTCTTTCATGGCAATTTGAGCGATCCGAAGTCCTCTGAAGATACACTGATATACTTGTATGTCATTTGAAACAAGTTGAAGTCGGCTGATCTACACGAAACTATCCTCACACCGGTCATTTGTCATAAATATGTACGTTGTCACGATGGCGTGACGCTGTATTTCTCTATGAAGTTTCCATCGGTCGCTCCAAAGAAAGATGACAACCAGAGGCGAGATTTCTCTTCGGGATATTGCTCATAAGATAACATTCTTCCAAAGCCGTACATGTTTCATTTGTCTGAAACATTTGTTGTTGAGAACATTACATGTAAACATCGCCAAATTATGCAATATCTGATTTTGAGCTTTTTTCGCGAATTGCCCCTATAAAAAGTAGAGGCAGGCCCGCAGAGATTTTTACATATTTAAAAACTAGAATATTATAACCAGCTAGGTGGGTAGTTTCAGTTCCAGAATCGGTGTACTTTTGGAGAAATTCAGATAAACGTTTTCCCTGTTTTACCCGACAACAAAAATGACTGAAACTGTACCGAGATGAATAATCTATTGGTGTGTTCACATTCACTCTCAGGGAAAATTGAATAAATCAAAGTGAAGACGAATGATGTCGCTATGTATGGTAGAAGTGCCAATTTGTAATGTTTTATTTAGCTTGAGTTAGAGAAATAAACATTTCACTCTTTTTTTGCGACGTTTTTGTATGGAAATGAGGCCCCAGGCCTCGAACAAGCAGTCGTTGTTACCATGGCAACAAGAGCGCTGCAACCTTTAAAAAGGGCATTTTTGTGCATCCCCCCTGAGTGCCTAACTGCATGCAAAATTTGAAGGGGGGTTGAAAATTTTCATTTCCAAGATGTTTGATTCTTACAGAGACTTGTTCTTAAGACGCGATCATTTTGAGGTTAGGTTGGCCAATAGTGCTCAATTGATTGACGATGAAGTTTCAAAAGCTGTAAGAAAGAAGGAGGGACTTAGAAAGAAGGCAAGGAAAATCCTCCTCTGAACACCACTGAGCAACATTTCGAAAGTGCCGTGTGGAACTTAGGTCACTAATTAGATTGAAACGGAAACAATACATTACAAGACTGTTATCCACTTTAACAGAAAATCGTGAGCGAATTTGGCATAGTATCAATCCAGATATGAGAACAAAAGCCTTCCATCTTCTGTGCAATACAATAGCGCTTAAGTATTTTATTTTCAAGAGAAAGCGGATCTTTTCAACAGCTTCTTTAATTCAGTTATTAAGAGAGATGGTTGTGTCCCCTCTATGAAGACTGTTTTTTCAGTGACTTTGATATAAGCGGGCATTTTTTTTTTTATAGCCTGAAAATATATTCAGGCTATATTTCTTGCATCATAGAGCCTGAATGGGTCACAATTTGCAGACATATCCATTGAGAAAGGATAACCACACAGAGGAAAAAAAATGTCCCTTGAAATCTGATCTGACTTATCCAGAACGTTAAGCCAAAGTGAGGTTTTTGCCTCTTGAATTTAGAAGGAAGGTATTAGGTTTAAGTTCAGTTCTCTTCTAAATGCCTTACAGGTCATGTAGATTTTTATGTTCTATCGTACGTTAATTTCAAATCATATAAGTTTGATATCGAAATAAAGAAGCCACACTTGCTAATTGAGGGTCGTTTTAGAACTTAAGTTTTTAAATTTTCTTGTTGTTAATCATCGTATAGATCTGTGGAATAGCCTACCATTAGAAATCAGAACTATTGAACTATTATTATCATTTAGGAGAAATTATAATTTCCGAGAAAAGAAGAATAGCCAAGTTATGAAAAAAGGGGAAATTTGCATAAAAAAAATTACAAAGGAGGCGCTTTTGAATGTGATTTGTTGATTTAAACTACAGCTTTGAATGTGATTGGCTTATTGAACTGTCTGATAACAAACTATTCGGTAACAAACTATCCCATTACAAACTGTCCAATGACAACTTGGCAAGTAAATCAATGGGAAATAAGAGTTTTTAAACCAATCACAATCGAGGAAATTGTAATGTTTATGATCAAATAAACAAAAAATTCGTTTGAAGGAACTGTACACTGACGTGGACATAATAGTCGAGAGACTGGAACGTAGACCACCTTTTCTTTATTGAGGCTTAAATAAGAAATTAAAGGATGTTGGACCAAGGTTTATCTACATTTCCTCTAATAGTGCTCTCATCGAAACAGAATAGTGAGGAACGCTTCTTGAAATGAGAGTGCTTACTCAATACCCGAGGGCGCTAAGTAACAAAAACCAAATTTATGGGGGGCGTTTAGTTGAGAGGGGGCGTTTAGTTGAGAGGGGGCGCTTAGTGGAAGGAGGGCGCTCAATCAAATAATTAAGGTAATGCATAGTCGGCTTATGACTTTGGACTCGATGAAAATCAGTGTAAAGCCCGGAGTTAGAGGAGGCAAGACCACTAAACTTGTAAAAGACAAATGGACGGTGTTTTGTGAGAACTGAGTATTGCTACTTCCTCCCCTAGGAGTTAAGTTCTGCGACCGGAATGAGTAACTTTTCTTTATTTCTTTATGCCAATTTCATTTTACAATCCGAGCTAATATAACATTTTTCAGGTCTCCTTTACATTTGAAACTCAGATTAGTGGCGCATCTGTGTTACATAACAAGAATAGCTTCCATTTGGCGAGAAAAAATGCACGGATACTTGTCCGCGGACGTTGTCTGTTCCGAGGAGCGAACAGTTTTTCCGAGAGCGAATCACGAGTTAAACTTTGAATTTTTTAGAAACACATAATGGTCAGGGACAAATATATGGCCATATTTTTGCGCCAAATGGAGGCTGTTGTGCTTATCATCCTTCAAATATTTTTGCGAAGGGAAAAATGTTTACGAACATGAAGCTAACGTTTGCTACGTGGGATGTGTATTTTTCACTGTTTTCTCGCACGACTTTATGAACAAACAAGCATGTATTTTCTTCTGCAACAATAGCTAAACACTCTCTTATCTTGAATTGAACTTTAAACGAACGCCTTTATCTTAATAGATGCGAGATTTGAAAATTGGGGAATATCACTTGGTGCATATGCGATCGCGTGATGCGATTACACCAATCGCGCGCGAGCAAGAATATATGATGGATTATAAGCAAGGATGTTTTTCCACGGACATTATTTCTTCCGGAATGCGAACATTTTTCCGTCCGAGAGCGAAATTTACTGTAGATTTCATTTAGTTTTGAAGTGAAGAATGATATGCTTTTCGACATTTTCGTTGAGTAAGACAAAGGACGGTTGGTTGGATGTACATTTCACGTTAGCACTGATGAAAAAAAATTCCCACAAATTTTACTGCTGTTTTCGGAAGTTAAGTGATGGCTTTCTCTTCTTATTTAGGTATTACGATCACGATTACGGTGGTTGCTCAATGGAGATATTGGGCCTTAAAATACCCTTATTTTTGGACTTCGTCAAATCCAGGAAAAACTGTCTTTACTTGAGGGAGCGGAAAAGGAAGAAATTAAATGGACAAGTTAAAAATAGTTTAATGTTATTAAAATATAACAGATTGAGAAGATAATACAGTGAATTGGATTTGCGGATGTCCTAACTGTTTGTCACGGTAGCAAGTCAAAGTTAGCTAATTAATTATCCCTCAAGAAATTAAATATTTTGACCTCTTATTTTTTAACCTTTTGTTGACTCATACTAATCAGTATTTTTGCCAAGTTTGAGCCAAATTAGTGATTTGAGTATTACCACAACGCCTGATTCCGCTCACTTTATCTTCAAACACACTTTTAATAATAAGCATGTTTACAGTGATGATGACGATTAAAGCTTGCAAATGAAAAAAAGGGTCTAAGCCTGGGATCGATAACTGTTGTTTATTTGTTCATTCGTGTGTTTGTTTATCCGCCTAGAGCTAGTTATATTTACAACTTGACCGAGCATTACATTGCATGTCTATGTTAATATTGTAGCCTAAATTGGTGGTTTATAAAGAATTGTTCGTTCACGCTAATCGGATATTGCATGACCGAATAGTAAAATAGGTTCTGCTGATGAGCCTCATCCTGTCCAATCTTCAAACCTCCCAATTTTCGCCTCCCCACCCCTCTCCCCATCCCCACGAAAAAATCCTTTCATAAAATCCCACTTGCTCTCATCTTTTCCGCGATCTCCTGCCTTTGAAAAACTTCTAGGTAGCGAAGTGCTACAGAAACTTCAAACTATCAAATTTCTCACTCATACTTATCAGATTAATCAAAATCTTGCTAAATCTCATCTTAACGAGTTTTCTGAGCTTTTTGGGCCTTTCGAGCGTTTCCTGCACGAGCACGCGTAT